GCTCGGCCAGCCAAGAACATAAATGCTCCCAAGGGAAACCAAAAGGAGCCCTTTTTGCATCCCCTGTTTGGAAGGTGCTTGCAGGGAAGCCAAAAGGAACCAAAGCAACACGTGGTATAGCTGGAAACGCCAGAAGCTTCATTCGTTGCCCGCTTGCTTGTCAGTCTGTCTCTGCCTGCCCGCCACTCTGTCTGTCTGTCCGCCTTTCTGTCTGTCTGTCTGTGTGTGCCCGTCCTGCCTCCCTGTCTTTGGCTTCGTGCGTGCGCACATTCTTTCGTTTGTGTGTTTGCGTATGTGTTGCTCGTTGCGTGTGCGTGTCTTTGTTTGTTTGATTGATTGATTGCTTGGTTCATTGATTGACTGATTGATTGATCGATGCATGGATGAATTGATTGATTGGTTGATTGATTGATTGGTTGGTTGGTTGATTGATTCAGTGATTGAGTGATTAAGAGATTGAGTGATTGATTGATTGATTGATTGATTGATTGATTGATTGATTGATTGATTGATTGATTGAGTGAGTGATTGATTGATTGATTGATTGATTGATTGATTGAGTGAGTGAGTGATTGATTGTTTGATTGATTGATAGGTTGAGTGATCTTGATTGATTGAGTGATTGATTGTTTGATTGATTGATAGGTTGAGTGATCTTGATTGATTGAGTGATTGATTAAGTGATTGACTGATTGATTGACTGATTGACTGATTGATTTATTGATTGATTGATTGATTGATTAATGAATTGATTGATTGAGCGAGGGTTTGATTGACTGATTGATTCATTGATTGGTTGATTGATTGATTGATCAATTGATCGATTGGTTGATTGATTGATGGATGTGTCTGTGCGTGCTTGATTGGTTGCTTGCATGTTGCTGTGTTTGTTGTTTGTGTGGCTGGGTTTGTTTGTGTGTTTGTTTGCTTGTTTGCTTGTTTGTTTGTTTGTTCGTTCGTTCGTTCGTTCGTTCGTGATTACTTGTTTCATCTATATTTGTTGTTGGTTTGTTTCATTTCTTGTGGTTTGTTTCTTTTGCCGTGTCTGTGCTTGTCCGTGTTTGAGTTGTTTGACATCGTGTGTGCTCGTAGTGTGTGAGGCGCTTATTGCTGTTTTTGTGGTTGACATGCTTTTGTGTGTGTGTGTGGTGTACCTGTGGTTGATGGTGTTGTTTGATGTCGTTTGTGTTGGGATGTTTACTCTTGTCATTATTGTAATCTGTGCGGGTGGCTTGTGTGTGTGTGCGCGTGTTTCGTGTGATGTCTTTGTGTGTTTTGTAGTGTACGGTGGTCGTCGGTGCTTTGGGTGGTCATTGGCGAGTTTGGATGTAATTTGGTGTCGAGTTGCCATTGTTGCGATTGCGGTGACTCTTGCTGCCATTTGCGTTCCCCATGTTTGTTTGTGTTAGTTTGCTTGTTCTTGTGCGTAGAGAGGGCGAGCGGGAGACAGAGAATGAGTTGCGTGTGTTGTCTGTTTTCTTTTCAGGGTTCGCTAGGTTCCCCTCGACACATCACCTCTACAAAGGGAAACTTACGTTCACTGGGCCAAACGGTGGCCTTTCAAACCACCAAACCAGGAAACCTAGGAACTCGAGCTGTTGCTTGGTTGCGCCAAGGGGAAGGTCTGAGCCTCAAGTGACATCCTCCTTACCCTCTAACCTGGGTTGCTCTTCCCTCCGGGGCAAAAGGTCGTTAACCTTTTGCAGGCTTGGAAACGGCATTTGGCTGCGGGTAAAAAAGTACCCAAAATCGATCTCTGATAACTGGAACCAAAGCCTAAAACCTGCGGCCCTTTTGGTGGGTTTACTTTGACCCATGCCCATTTGTGTCCAAACTGTCTAAGGGGCGATTTGGTCAACTAGGCATAAGGTGAGAACCACCCAAGGTGATTCTGAGAACTCCTAAAACTGCAGCCATATCCTCACTGCCTGAGAGGACAGGCCGAAAAAAGTGCGAACTTCTTGTTTACCACCAGCATGGGCTTCCCAAAAAGTATAACTCTGATTGTTTCCTATTAAACTCAACAGGGGAAAATTTAACATCCGCTTAAACAAATGGAGGATACTCCAGAAACTCAAAAAGTGAGCCCACGCTCTGCCGCGGCGATGCCCCATGTCATATCATCGGTCCTTAAAGGCGGAGGCCACGTCTTCCTCGAGGCCTTGGACGATGACCTTGTCAAGCGCCCCCAGCACTGCCCCCAGCTCGGACCAAACCTGCGGCAAGCGCCGCAAGCGCTGGCAGCAAGAAGGGGCTCCGGAGAAAATCCGTGGGGTTCCGGAAACGTTGGGGTACTGTGGACGAAATCCATTTCGTACCACCTAAGAAACCCTTGTTTCTAATGATTCTTCTGTAAATAGCAACAAACGATGGTTTCACATGGCTTCAAAGTGGTGCAGGCTTCCGTCCATCCACAGTATCACCTGTTGTTTCTTGTTTGCCTAACAAGGGGGGGTGGACCCTCCAAACCTTGGTGCTGAACTGGGTACTTTTGGTCGGG